TTCATAGTCTTATATTTCAGCAGTTTTACGACAAACTGTGACTTTTTTGACATGGAAATTATTTTTAAGATTGACAAACATCATGTGTAATTCGTGGCACAATTCAAACGGGATCTAAAGATAAGTTTTCTCTCTCCAATAGCCACTTTCACACCAAGTACTTTGCCGTACTAAATGCCCCGGCACTAAGTACCAATCACGTTCTCAGCGGAGTACTTTTCCCTGAGGGAAGATTACGCAAATGAGCCACTGACGTTACTTCTTCTTCTTCTGCTTTGGGTCTACTGGCAGGCCGCAAACAACTTCACGGCGTATACTGCCACCCGAAGGCCCCGGCCGGAAGTCCCCGGAGTTGGGGAAGGCTTCAGTAGAAGCTGCTGGGACTCCGACACCTCCTCATCTCCACCGCTCCCATGTTTTCTTTTGTGTTGTGTAGGAGCAAACACAGTGGTGGTGGCTTAAAGCCCACCTCCGCTCCGCGCCGTCCGTTAGATGAGCCTGGTCACATTAATAAGAGAAGGAGTTCAAAACACCGGCATAAAAGTTATAAGAATAATCTGATTTGAATGGTAAAAACAACAATACATAATACAGAGCCCTCTGCAACAGCAGCTACAAAATACAGTTACAGAGCACTCCGGGCGGGGATCCCGCTCTACTGCCGTGCGATACAGATATCGGGACCAGCCAGTCAGAAACAGGGGGCATCGTGCATGAATAAACATCAGTATACATAGAACAATTTGGGGGCAGAGTTGTGTCGGCTGCTCCGCCCCCCCAAATCTCTAATTGGTCGATTTCACTCCTAAGCTAATCAGAGAGTCCGTGGGGAGGAGTTGTGTCGGCTGCTCACTCCCCTAGGTATTCTTACTGGTTGGATTCACTTCGGGTCGGGCCACATACAGCGAATCAGAGTTCTGGGAAAAAGTATTTTACTTCTGAACAGAGCGTGAGAGCTTCGGGAGTAAACAAGGACAGAGTCAATCTTATCTTGCACCTGGATTCACTCCTCTACTTTCCCAAGGAATATTTCACACAAACTATTCTTTCCCAGACAATCAAACATTGTACACAGATATATTGGTGCCCAGAAAGGACCTTGAAAAGAATATGTGTGTGTGCTGGTATCTGGGTCAGTGAGTGTAAGTGAGAAGGTTATATATATAGGATTACTTGAAAACAGTCCCAAATAGTACATGTTCACTTCAATACAGTTTAAAATAATACATGTTTACTTTAATACAGTTTAGAACAATATCTGTTAACTTTAAACTGTACCAGATATTTCCATACATCTAATGGTTATTGTTCAAGAGCACCTTAGACAATTCAGTAATGGTATATTTTTTAGGGATTTCAGTTTTTCTGATAAATGAGAGAAAAGTGATTGAGTCCTATGTTCCTATCACCAAAAAGTACAATTTCCGTCTATAAAGCTAAGTTTACAGGACTATAATTCAGTATTTTCTTAGTTAAATAATTGTCTGACTATTTGGTGATGTAGGACAGCCACCTGGTTCATACCTCAGCAAATCTGAAGAGGAAAAGAGTTTTCATTCTCAAGTTATGGGCTTTTTTGTCACCTTTCCCATATTCGGCCTGGTCTAATTTGGCTCTTTTTCAGGGATTGGGGTAGTTCTAAAGAACAATCCAAAAAACATTTTTTCCCCCAAAATAAAATTTGACAACAATCAATCTCATTAATGGGAGACCCTAAAGATAAGAAAAATCATTGTTGTCATTTGTTCTACCTCGGGTAGGGGTATCTCGAAAACTAAAGCCTTTTTTGAGGACTTGCTGCTGGACTATAAAGACCCACAGGTTTTCAAGATATGTATAAATATACACATAACTGGCAAACAATAAGGTATGTGTACATAAGGTTAACATTTGCACAAATTCAAAATCTATAGCCTTCACATTTTTAATAAGTATGAGTACTGCTAGTTTATTGAATGAAACAATTCACTTAAGTTCAGTAGTTTGTGTAGTGTTTTGCATGTTTGATAACCAGTACATGACAAATATGTGCCTTGTGCAATATAAAAGTCAGACAGTCAGAGATTAAATGCAGTGAGTTTTTCACTTGTATGGTATTCCTCTCATGACAAGCAAGAAAATAAAATACTCTGGCCAGTTTCATGATGATTCAAATGATGAAACGTAAACTATATTTTATGGCCAATATGTTACTTAGAAAGGTTAGCATGCGTTTTATCAATGTGAATTGTTATTTACAGCTTTAGCCACACCTTACAGCTACAGAAAAAAGTATTATGTAAGGCTCAAAGCTGCTAACAATGATTCAATGAGGTAGTTTCTTCAGGTTCCCAAACAGTTGAGTTACTTCAACGGTCAGTTTGTGATGTTTCACTTATTGTGTTCTGTTGTACACTTTTATGTCGCATGGATTAGTTTGACAAAAGCATCAATATAGAGCCCTAATCCTGCCCTAAATTAATTGTTTTATTTGTTACTACATTATGAATAGTTGTGGGTTTATCATGTCCACTTTTCCTTTTTTATGGCTATGGACCTTTTGTAAAGTTTGAATTGAAAGTTTAATATTTCTCTCTAACGCACGACGTATAATAAAAGATAAACCTGAAGTACTTTGATGTAGGCCTAAGTAGTAATAGTCATTTTTTAGCCTACAGGCCTACTCACAGTACGTGATAGTGTTTCGGTCACCTGTCGTTGACGCCCGAAGACCCGCCCCTCCAGAAAAAAATACCCATGACGTCACCACAGATCATCACGGAAGTGAACTAGACGACGAAACCAAACAGACAGAAACCCACATAAGTTGTTGTGGTGTACGCTTCACTAGCATTTACAGGTGAGTTACTGTCTCTTTATGATCCGTTTAACGTTTTAAACTATCCAAGTGTTTTAACTACTTTGTGTGTCTGATACACTTGTTTTGTTTTTGCTAGCATTGTAGTGAGAGCTAGGTAGCTAACTGAGCACAAACGATAACAGAATAGACTGCTAACAAAGCAATTTCTATTTAACAGTAAATGTAGGCCACACGGATACAGGGTTTCTAAACGTATAAGCAATAGTATGGATTATTCAGTTGATGACAAAAACTAAGAAATTAAATAGATAACATGTTAAAGATTAAAATAGCGTGACATAGGTAACGTGAGCTTCCCTAGCTGTTCGTCGGGCTAAAGCTAACTGACACGAGCTGTCAAACATGTAGGTAGTTTGTGTTTGTTAACCTCCTGTTTTCGTTTGTGTGTTGGGATTGTTTAGAGTAAATCTGCGCAGTCATAATGTTTCGATGATTTAGTCATGCTCACATGATTAAGTGACTCACAGGATCAGAGTTAGGGGGCGAGGTCAGATGGATTCTTTAGGTTGACAATGGATGTATGGTTCCGTGTTTATTTTTTTGCTATTCTCATTGTCTCTCCCCCGCAGATAGTCTATAATCATGCTGGGAGGAGGTTTCAAAGCAGAGAGGCTAAGAGTCAACCTGCGTCTGGTCATTAACCGACTCAAACTCCTGGAGAAGAAGAAAAGTAAGTATTGTGCTGATTCAAAAACCTTGATTCTATTATTCCACAGTTGATGTGGAATGAGTGGTTTTATTTGTCTATTCATCCATTTATTGACCGTGTACTTTCTCCAATTCACACATTTATAATGAAGCTGAGCTCGCTCAAAAGGCAAGGAAGGAGATTGCAGATTACCTGTCTTCTGGAAAAGATGAGCGGGCACGGATCCGTGTGGAGCACATTATCAGAGAAGACTATCTGGTGGAAGCCATGGAGATCCTGGAGCTTTACTGCGACCTGCTTCTGACTCGCTTTGGCCTCATACAGTCCATGAAGTGAGTTTCTAACCAAAGAAGTGCACTATACTACTTTTATTTAACATACTGACCGCACATTGTCCAGGAAGTGACCTCAATACGAAAAAGACAAGCAATGAATCTACAGAAAAATAGTTGCCAACTATTTTGATAATCAAAGTAATTATTTGAATGCAATATAGGCATAAAACGCTTTTTCAACCTCTCAAAGACGGAGCTCATTGTACTTTTCTCAGTTTGAACTGAATATTTCTGGGTTTTGGAATGACAAAAGAAGGAATTTAAATGGAATCCCTTCGACTTTGGGAAACTGGGATGGACATTTTCACAGTTTATCTGACTTTTTTTGAACAAACAATCATTTTGTAAACTGGAGCCCTCAACTATGGAGATATACAAATAAAAAAAATAAAAAATGTTCAGGCTTTGTGTTCTTTTTAACCCGTTATGTTCCTCCAATCAGGGAACTGGACCCAGGCCTACAGGAGGCAGTGTCCACCCTCATCTGGGCAGCGCCTCGTATCCAGGCAGAGGTGTCTGAACTTAGAACTGTAAGTACTGTCTATACAAAACATTGTACTGATGGCAACACTATTTAACAAGTTCTGTTGTATTTTTTTACTGTTATGTCAATTCATGACATTTTTATCTCTAAATGATTCTATCAGGTATCCGAGCAGCTCTGTGCAAAATACAGCAAGGAGTACGGAAAACTGTGCAGGACAAACCAGATTGGCACAGTCAACGATAGGGTAGGCACTTTTTCCACTAACTGGCCTGTAGGAGCCAATTAACTGTGGGTATAAAGGTAGGAACCTATGTTTGTTGGTGAGAGGTTCCGCCCGAAGGCCCATACAGTTTTTGACCATACACAGAGAACACACACGGAGAACACGGAGCACACACAAAAACACGGGATTACAAACATTAGTCTGTTCAAGAATGCATGAACCTTTTTGCCTGGTATCTTTTTATCATCTGATCAACTATTTGATGTGTTTATAGCTGATGCACAAACTGGGTGTGGAGGCCCCTCCCAAGATCTTGGTGGAGCGCTACCTGATAGAGATCGCCAAGAACTATAATGTGCCGTATGAACCTGACGCCATGGTTCGCGTGAGTGATAAATAATCTATTCTATAATTCACTATGAAAGATGAAGTCATGCATTTTGTTTATTTACCCACTCATCCCCCCCTGTGTCCTGACAGCCTGAGGTGTATCCCGGAGAGGAAGCAGACCTGATTGACGTGGACAATGACAGGAGGGGCGGTAGAGGAGGAGGAGGTGGTGGTGGAGGAGGTGGTGGTGGTGGTGGTGGTGGAGGAGGAGGAGGTTTCACTGTTCCTATGGGTGCCATGCCTATGCCCATGCCCATGCATATGCCCATGCCACCAGCTTTCAACTATCCAACCCCCAAAGGACCCGTAAGAGATTCATTTGAAAGCCCCTGTTGTTTATCATTCTGTTTGTGAATTATACATTTGGTTGTGGAAAACCTGTAGGAGAACGATTTGCATCATGGATAAAATCCTCAATAATCGTCATATCCGCCAACGACGGGTTGCTATTAAATTCAAAAGTCTGAAATATACAATATTGCCTTGATAATTATTATAAACTCAAAATAAGTACTTAAAACAATATAATACAACCCACTCATGACAAGATCATCATTTGGGTTCTCATAACTAGCTTTAGAAAGACATTTCACCCATATCATGAAAACTTTGCCTACCAGCCCACAATACCTACGTTTAATGGAATTATTGGTGCTCAAAGCATTGAAGAAATACCTTTAGAAACTCCTCTAAACTTGTTTAATTTCCAGGCTACTTAAAGTATTCTAACGATATTTTTGAGGACAGGTTTTGGTATTTTCTTGAAAAAGTTTCCAGGCATTAATGATTATTGCAATGATGACGGTGACTGTGTAGCAACGTGACAAAGAAGTAGTTTACCAGTCGTCACTGTTCATCATTATCCCTTCTATCAGACTTGAACCTGACTCTTGTTTTCCTCCAGGAACCGTATAATCCCATTGGAACCTACAACAACTTCCAGCACCCTATGGGAGGAGGGCCACCCCCTCAGCTGCCCACCTGCCCCCCCACATACGAGTCTGTAAGTGACAGAACCCCTCCCATCCCTTCCTGTACCCCCAGATGGACAGACGGGCAGGGCAGGGCAGGGCATCACTCAGGGAAGAGCAGTTCATTCAGCTTACAGTTTTGCCTGTCCTCTACTTGACACTATTTTCTTCTAAGCCCAGGTCCTGCTTCATCTCTAAAGATATAGTTAGCATGACGTGCTTGTGCTTCCCTTATTACTAACTAACTAACTAACTAACTAACTAACTGATCAGAGAGTGAGACTAAATTGAACAGATGAGTGTTAGGTGCGTTTTAAAGAAAGCTGACCCTAGCTACGTCCCTAAGCCTGTGAGACACAGTAAGGGGGATCATTTCTTAAAAACCCTTTTCCCTTTTTGTTTTATTTTCTTGCCGTTTCACTTCTTCGTTGTTACACACAATTGATAATTCCTTCTCAACACTAACACCATCAATATTTACTTTATTTATTACAATATGAAGAGATACTCCCCTTAAACATTTTCCCTGTGTTTCAGATTGATGACCTAAATGACAAACCTTTTCCTTCCCAGGCTGTAGGTGAGTTCTGCAAACAATAGTAGGATAAGACTGGAGATATTCTTTATGTTTGGTATTGTCAACAAATCAAAATAATCATTCAATCCTAAATGTGTTCATTCCTTCTTTTTTTAAAACATGGTTAAAGATATATAGACTTAATCGCACTAAACTATTTAGCAAATGTTACTTAAATAAGAGTAGATTGTGTATTTGTTGGGAACAATATGCAGAAGCAGATTAACTGCCGTGATGAGTATTTCCTGCCGCAGGATTGTGTATGTATTTATGTACATGAATATACAAAAAAAACCTAACTATAGATTAAATATTACTGATGTGTTTTTGGTCTCTGGCAGAAAGTCATAGAATTTCAGTCCGTGGCATCACAGGCAACACAAATGAAATTGAACACCATGTATTGCTCTCAGGTCCCGGCCCTTCATCTCAGATGTTTGACAACAACTCTCTCCCAGAACTCCCCTCGGTTCCCGACACACTCCCCAGTGCCTCTTTCGGCAAAAACACCACCAGCTCAGATGACATCGACTTTGATGACTTAACGCGGAGATTTGAGGAGCTGAAGAAGAAGACCTAAATGCTATATCACTGGTTTATACAAATGTACACACGTACACACTGAGCCTGTGCCGCCACCTAAACAGAACCCAACATGTTAAAGGTTCATGGCTCCGATGTTAAGATTTGGATATTCCCCCCCTCCCATGGTAATATAACATAGATATTTAACATACCTCTATTCTTACCTCATTTTTATAAACATGACCTTGATAGTTAGCAAAAATCGAACGACTCTTGGCAGTACCATTGAGTAGCTTATGTTTTGCTTTCTTTCTGTAGGGCACATATTATATATTAGTTCATGCAATCATATTGGTGTTGACCCCCGTTCACTCCATTTAGAGTCACACCAACTTTTATAGTTTTCAAATTTGCCTGTGTAACATTTTATATAACCAAACTTTTTAAATTGTTGCTTTTCCAAGGGGTCTTTTGGGGTCTGAAGAATATTTTGAAAACATGCCTTGATTCTTCTTTGCACATGCTCTGTTGCTGTGATCTTTGCCACTGTGTCGCACACTCCTGAATCAGACTAGCCAAACCAGCCCGACTTGCCGCCCCAGTTTCATGGGGAGGGGCCAATCACAAAAGCTAGAGCTTGTTTCCGAGGGAAGGCCCTTTATGAGTGTTGTGCAGTCAGTCAGTGTAAGCTGTGTAGAAAGCATATTTTGAAACACTCCACTTCTTCCAGGTTTATTTATATCAGAATAAGGACCTATGAGTCTTCCAGTTAAAGCCCAATGTGACGCCTTTCAAACATGTTACAGGTGTGGTGGGGCACAGATGTAAAGTGATAAAACAGTGTATGATAATCCTATCTACACGAACGATTGAACTGTAAAGCAATAGTTTAATTGTAGGGAGTTGTATAATATTTGACATATCTGTAAATCTCCAAATAGTTGTTTTGCTCCTTTGAACGCCTGTCCTACCAAATATCTTCCCCTTTTCTTTTTATTGTTTAGTACTCAAGCCGTTTTTGTTTGTGTCCCATACTAGTATGTGTTCCACTGCATTTGCCTTAGTTACCATTTTTCATCAGAGGCCTTGTCAGTCTGTAGGATTATGCATGTGTTATCCATCAGACACATCTTTCCTGTTAGGATCAGATCACACGTTGCTTTATTTGCTCTGCCCATGAACAACTCCCTAACAACTTCAGAATTTGATGAAAACTGCTGTTCTAGCAATAGAGATGTGCGTTGCAGGCTTTTGCTGTACAGAGTGTACACACCCAGCTCTTCTTGCATGGCAAATGAATGGTGGCTTCTAATAAATGATTCAGTGATCTCTGGAAGTGAAGAAGAGCTTTATAAATTAAAGCTTTCCAGCTGGGTGATGGACACAGTTCATGGATAGGTCTAACTTGTGTTGGCGGAGTATAAATATTAACACTAACAGAACTCTGATCTGCTCACTGTCTTTTCTATGTCTGACTGTTCTCTCATGCTAAACATTGAGAAACACAATGGTGTCTGATTGCAGAAATAATTATTTTCCACTGTATACTGAAGTAACAATTGAATAAAAGATGATTTAGAACTGGAAGCTGGTACAATTTGTTTTTACTCTTTATGTTTACAACGTCCTGTTTATATTACTGTGATGTCATGTAACTACCAGTAGGGGTCCTCAGTGTAAAGGAAAACACTGACCTACAACAAACATTTACTTAATGTAAAGCTTTATGAGTTTTGGATTTTCTTAGTCAGATAATCTGTTTGCCTTCTTTCTGTATCATAATAGTCCCGTCTGGTCAATCCTGCATCATATTAAGACATGTTTACCTGCTGAATATATGAAGATAAACTCAGCTGAAATCTTTAAGGGGCACACGTAAGGGCAGCTTGAAAGATGGGAAATAGTGTCAACCATTAGCATTCTGGTCACTAAATTGAAATATTTTTACAATAAAAAATAGCTCCAAAGTTGAGATTGACTGTATCTTTGTTCCTGATGATTAGCGCTCATTGTGTAATACAACATGTGGCAGGATATTATTATGTCTTTGCTCAGCACTGAGGGTTTGGTAGTAAACCTCAGACTTTTGGTTTACTTTCCCAGCTCTGTTCGTGAAGTGGTGTCGGTGTGAATGAGCTGGAAATGTTTTCACCGAGAAAGGTCAACCACTCTTCATACTGTGCTTTGTTGAATATACAAATCAAGTTAGTTTACATGCCATGCACTTGACATGCTCTCTTTCCCCTCAAATGTATTCAACCTACCAGAAACAAGAGCTAGATGTTATTAGAGGTGTTTAAAATAAATGATTTGAGTTGATCGCCTCACATTATTTTTAGCATACGTCACATCACAATGACACCTATCTGATTTGTGGCCCAGTGACAGACTGAGGTTTATGTTTAACCCAGCCAGGGGTAAGGGGCCAATGCAGCTTTTCTTTACCTTGTATACTTTGTGTTGTCCCTCCAGGCTCCTGAAACACATCATAAACTGACAAACGTATCATAACTATTTCAGAATACAGCAGCATTGATGACGTCAGCTCCTCCTTCTGCTCTGTGATGTTTTGCAGCCAATTACTGTGGCATGAATGTGGTCGGGCTTCTCTGCTGAAACCTGTAAAGAAAAAAGATGGCTCCTGATACAGCAGCAATCCAATCCAACTTTATCTATAAAGCATTTTACAACCTTCAGACCAAAGTGATGTACAGAGAATTACAAAAACACACAGTGCAGCTCACTAATAAACAGCAAGTATCTTTTTTCTTTCAAGGTTATTCCACTGAAAGGATGCATTTTGCAAAAGGGATAATCACAGGCTGGTTTTGTTGGAGAATGATCTAATCAGTGTTGAGATCATCATTAAATAGTTGTAATATGTTGTGTGTGTGCCTATCAGACTTCACAAACTTCCTGTCCAGTGCAGGGGATGGAAGCCGTCAGGCAATTGTCCAGATTGTTAGTGATGGTTATTGAATAGTGATTGTGAATGATCAGACAGCAATATTTTCTTTAGTTATTTTTTATGTTGGTGTTTTACATGAATTTTGATGCAATTCTAGTCTAGAGCAGGGGTGTCAAACTCAATTTCAACTCGGGCCACATTAGCATCATGTACTCAAAGGGCCAGTTTTATATATAAGACTATATAAGAATAAATATATAAATATTTAATATATATAAAATAATGTATTATATAACATTATCTCCTCTGCATTGGATTATTATCGGATAGGTCACTTAATTAACTACGTCTGAAAGCAGAAGTCTAGGGCAAACAATTGCAAGTCTCTTCAGTGCGCATGTCACAAAATGAAAAGCCAAATTCTGGAAAAACAAAAAAATAAGTGAAATTCTGAAAAACAAGTAACATTTTGAGTAAAAAAAGTCAAATTCTGGGAAAAAAGTCATATTTGAGATGCATTGTGGGACATGTAGTTTATGGGCAATGTGCTTCTGTAAAGCGGCATGTAACCGTATAATAAAATAATAAACATATATTCTTTGCAAGCTCTTGTGGGGCCACATGAAATGAAATCGCGGGCCGGATTTGGCCCCCGGGCCTTGAGCTTGACACCCCTGGTCTAGAGCATTTGTTTCTGCTCTACAAGGACACAGATGACAGTGATAATAAGGAACATTTTCACTTTTACAATCACTTCATTTTAGATTTGATAAAAAATACTGGCACAAAGAAGTCTAATCAGCAACCAAAAGGTACTTTGCCTAACAAATTGCTTAACAGATGCTGAAGCTCAGTTTATCTGAAGTTTATCAGAAAGGCAAAAACGAATTTAAAGTGAATGTATAGTTGTGAGTCCGATGATAGGGCCCCTGTATTATTAACTAAATAACGAGATAAAAAAGATGATATGCATCAGTTTATTCAGTTTCACACATGTAATACGTACATAGTCACATCAATAAGTGTCATGTACATGGATGCAGTTAGTTTTGCTACGAAATCATTCGATTGAAGGACAGACTGAAACACATAGAAAGTCGGCATCTGATGAGAATTCATGACATGCACATTCAGAACATATTACAGTGACACGAAGGTGGAATGAAAAAAGTGATCAATTAAAAATCTGTTTCCATACGTCCCACATAATATATTATATATATATAAAAGCACCTTTGCACTCTTATAAAAGCCCATCTTTGTATGCAGTCAGACGCCACACTGCGATGACGAACAGAATTTAGGAGTTGCTTAATTCTAAATATGTCCATATTTTTCAAGTTACTATAAAGTTAATGATGTATTTTAACAATAAATATCGGAAGGATTGTTATAAATTCATGATAAAGCGAGAAGGATTCAGTATTTCTCCCCATGGTAAGCCTATGAAGTATTGTTTACAGAAATAATTTACCAATCAACTGCTCTACTAAAGCCCGAACTTACACTTAGTAAACTTGGGTAAAATAACAAGAAGAACAAAATAAATACACATATTCTTTGTATTGTATAGAATATCTCTACATATATTCAACAACTCTAGCAGGGCTCCTATTATATTACGGATGAGTATGTTTACTTTATTGCTTGATTGAAGACAGTTTGTCCCTCTTTAAAATAACCCAACAAGCTCATGATGTCTAGATTTTCAAAAGAAACACTATAAAATGCAAGAACAACAGTTATTTATTTACCCATTTACCCTGACTCACCCTTTCAGAAAACGTTCTCATGCATTGGGAACTCTGTACACATACAAAACACCAGAATTAATATTTCATTTAGAAAGTAAGAACTTCCAAAAAGTGCAAAAGAGTGTTTAAGAAGTCAGGTTGTCGTGGATCACAGCAGTGCCCAGAAGAAAAACAGCTTCTCTCGCTTAATGCAGCCTCCTCACAGTGAGTGTCTGCCAGAGTAGCGACCACACTTGATTTGTTGCTCTGGGAAATGGAGAGGACAGTAGTTAGACTCTGAGCACTTTACTGCGCTTTATCTGAAGGAAGGATACACTGATACACTCAAGAGAGAGAAGTCAGTTGGGAGGAGCAGAAACTAAAAGGGTTTATATTTTTACAAAGCAAAGATTATTTTACCGTTTCATATGCGTCATTACATAAGGGCGCTCTGCAGGTAACTACAATCTTTATGAACAATTCAGGATGAAAGCTGTGTCTGCTTTATAAATTATGAACAAGTAGTTTGGACTTAATAATTTATGTGAAAATGATATTTAGAGGCTTTTCAAATGCTGCATTCAACATCTGCGTTGTCAGTTGATAATCCTCTGTGCAAAAATACTGATTAAACCAGCCTTTAGGATGATGGAAAAACCGAGAAAAACACCAATGAAAAGCTACTATTCTGGTTACATTTCAGTACTAACCATTGCAGGCATAAGATGAGCACAGACAATATTAAAGACAAAGAAAAGAGCAGCACAATGCACAATATTTACAGCCAGAAATATGTACACTGAACCTGTTCTGGTAACAGATGGTCTGCATAAGGTTTTTCTTACCTAACTTCAACTGCTCGATTTCCTCAGATTCCTCCACAGCTACAGGTTTCAGCAGCAGGGCAAAAAACACAGCAATTCCTAACACCTGTAAATAAAAACAAGCCACAAGAAAGCAGAATATCTTAAATACAGTCATGTTAGTGTGATGTGCTGGAAAAATATAGTTTCCTGTCTTTACCCACCTTGAGAGGCTGCAGTATGAAGATGCTCTGGAAGAGGGAGAGGCCCAGAGACATGACCCACTTGATGGATTTCGCTCTGCCATAATCCAAGCCGTACAATAGGGTGAAGAAAGTGGATATTCCACTGATGGACAGCAGCAGGAACCAGCCCAGGAACACACACCACCAGGGCAGCCAGCAGGTTGCCTTCTTCTTCCTCTTCTTTACGGGAGGGGGGCTGAGCCAATGAGGAACAAGGAATGAGATGAAAACACACAAGTAGCTTCGGCTAAACAAAACCAGTCATATTTCTACTTTTCGCTTAGATTTATTTTGTATCGACTGGATTGCTGACCAGTAGGCCAAGTGGCTGCTGAAGACCATCTCGGCCTTTCGAACCAGAATGTTGGTGGTGTTGAGGGTCTGCAGGTAGTCCTGTGGACTCGGGAAGTTCCTTTCATCCAGTTTCTCCAGACACATCAGCAGGTGACAGAGACCAGCCAGGAGGAACTTGCTGCAGTAAACCCAGTGAGGGTCACTCTCACTCTCGCCTTTGACGGGATTACATAAAAACCAGCGTGTGTAGTTATGCATATTTGTGAACTGTATGTCAAGAATCACGTCTGCGTTATGACTTAATGGGCTTAGGACGGAAGGCACCAGATAGGCTGAGTAAGTTGTTCAGAAAGCACTCTGTAGCTTTGGTATTTTCATGGGATATATATGGCCTTAGAGGGGTCCTATGCTAATCCTCAGGCCCATATTTGTGTTACATATACATATTACATGCTTTAATGTTCAAAAAGGTCTTTATTTTTCTCATACTGCCTGTGCTGCAGCACCTCTTTTCCCCCTCTGTCGGAAACCAGAGCCCAGTCTGCTCTGATTCTGTTGTGATTGGTCAACCGCTTAGAGATGTCTATTACGTACAATGTGTTCGCAAGCTAACCAAAAGAAACAGGAATGTAATATAGTGATGTCACTATGTTACAGAAGTAAACAAACAAGTCAAATTGAGGTGTTTCTTTGCAGATCATTTACAACCTATATAACACACTACAGAAAGGGGAGACCCCCAAAAGCACAATAGGGCCTCATTAATATGACACTGTTGTAAGTGCAGGTCTGTTAAGCTCATAGAGAAGTTTGTTAAAAAATATGTTTTCAAAAGATTAAACGCACAATTTAAATCTATAATTACAGCCAAATACAACATTATACAGAAACAACATTTCCTAAAGCTCAAAGGGGGAAATGTATTTTTAGCGCTCCTGGATAGTATGTTTCTGTATAATATTGTATTGGGCTGTACATGTTGATTTTTTTCTTTTTTTTTCTTTGTAAAAACATTATTTTCTTTATCAGTCATACACGAAGTAGTCAAAGCAAAAAATTAAAAATACCTTGCATAAGCCGGATGAAATCATGGACCGTGTCCAGGGCATAGCTGAGGTCAGAGGTCGACTCCAGCCTGTGTGTGTCTGACATTTTGTTCCTCGGACTAATGCTCATCATGGAAATCACCTCCTCTGTGTCCTAGGGATATTCAAGGGATGCACAACACATAATGAATGCCACATTTTCACTGTCTGATCAAAGATATGGAAATTAAGACATACTTGGCAGTAAAAGGTCAGGGGATGAAAACATAACATAACATTTCTTAAGCAGAATAAATGAAAACTGGCCCTTGAAAATGCACTTACAAGGTCAGTGATAAGGCGGTGCAATAACTACTCTTATAAGAAAGATCTGCTGAACACACTCACACCCAACATAATTTGATAATAATTAACACACCTTCAGAATAGATGGTGTGGTGACAGGGGGGGGTCTCAAGCTCTCCTCAGAGTCTCCTTTATGAGATTTTGAAATCACGCGAGGTTTGATGCTTCGGAAGATGGTGATGATGAGGATGTTGATTGGAAACATGAGCAGACCACTCTGCACCCCCACCATTAGCTCCTGCCACGTGATTTGCATGGAACCTGTAGGAGACACAAAAGAAAAGGACACAGGTCAGAGTCATCAAATGGTTTAGGTTTATGTCTCTCTCCTAAGGTCTGTACGCTACCTTCCCGACACCAAACATCACACAGACAGAGTGAGCCGCTAGCTGGTGAATATTGAAGAGCCTTTTGCTCAAGGGTCTGATATTTCCTTCAGAAGACAATGAAGAAAAAAGTAGCGAAAACTATTTTTTTCAAGTGACCAGAATCATGTTAGATATTACTCTCATTATTTAAAAAACCCGGTATAAAACCTTGAAAAGTTGTGGAAATCGGGCAAACATTATAATGAACTGTTTACAGTGCTTAAAGTTCAAGAGAGTTTTATGGTTTTCATTTCCGTGTCAACAGAAGAAGTTAAAAGAGGCAGTGAAGGTCATAAGGAAGTTTTCTTTTTCCCTCCTACATCAGGATGGAGACGAGCGTTTCTAAGCCAACCAGTGGGCCCAACAAGAAAAAGAAGCTTTTATAACATCATACTTTTTCATCTTTGGGCTAGGAGCAAGGTTAGTATTCTCAACAAAAGGCTGAGAAACAAAGGAAGTCATTGCTGTTTAATTAAAGTCAGGTTGCATATCTTTTAGTTTTTGTTAAGTTGATTCTAAAGTCATCCAATGTGTGACTCCAGTTCACGCTAAAATAGTTAAAGTCTTAGCAATTCACCAAATTCGAAGATAACTTGCGAATCCTCTTTTATAGGAATGTTCCAGAAGGCGATGTTGATGGCCATGGTGCAGAGGAGCAGGCTCATGCAGCAGGAGACCCTCTGGGCACGAGTGAACGGACTACGTGAGGGAGGGTCCACGATGGACACCCAGATGTGTTCATCCCTGAAGCCTGTCGAGGTTCTAGCCTGGAAAATATTCCTAGAAGAGAAACGCAGAAACCCATGATGACACTTCCTCAAGAGCTGAGTTGTTTTATTTTCGCTGTATAACGTGAACTGACCTGAAGCTGGCAACCTCGTTGTTCTTTGCAGCATTGAAGGTTTTCTTGGTCATGTTGTCTCCCTGGTCAACACTCAGCCAGCAGTTACAAAAGAAGTGAAACACCTGCCGTGTTTGGAGGTCTTGTACGGTCACCTTGTTAATATACCTTTTTATAAAACAACAAAGATGACAAATTTACCATATGGCTCAATTTATGTGGGAAATGCAAATGTTAGATAATAATCATTAAGCTCCACTTTGCAAAATAAGAGCACCCAATGGCTGCAACAGAGATCATTTGATATCGTATTGTGTACTTTGTGTATTTTATTTTTAGATTTCCATTTACAACTTACTGTATGCAGTGTATATTTCCTAAAGCAAGTTGTGTTAACGCTATTATAATATCTACTATAAACTATTGCTCATATTTATTCTCTACCAAAATGAGAGTGTGTACATGTGAACAGTGAGCTGGGAGTGGAATTATATGATTAGTTTTAACACGGTAGTGCTAAATGATGAGACTGGCCAGACATTTTAAGGGGTCACTGTGAAAAGTCAGAAAGGTGTCCAACAGGGAAGCAATAAACACTTCCTGTAATCAGATCTTTAAAAAAGATACTGTTAACAGCTTTACAATGACCCCTATCAATTATCCACATTTCTAGGTTAGAGCTGAATCGATACAAGCATAAAAACAACTATGTAAATATAATGACATTTATACTTATTTGAGCATTGACAATAGCCAATTATTTTACCATGCACTGATCTTAAGTAGAACTAAGTGTTTCAAATGCTTATCTTGTACCATGATGGACGGCCCCCAGAGTTGTCGTGCTGCAGTCGGAGGTTTCGCACTTCGCCCAGAGGGAAGGGTGTGGCCAACAGGAACATATCAACAGCTCCTCTCTCAAACACAGGCTTGTCAGGGTCTGTGAGGACGTGTGTGTCACTCTCGCCGTCTGAGCCAGTCAGCTTCACTGTCACCTACAGGACAACACAACACACGCATCACATCACAGGTTCTCACATCAGTCATCTGAACCAATACTGTGTAAAAGTGTTAAACACTTCACATAACTACCAACCGTTTTGTAAAGCAAACCATAGAAATTGAAATGATCAGTTAATTTTTCTAGGCTTATTCATTTCAGTACCTTATAAAGACTCTAAATATGTTTCTAGAACTACATCGTGGTAAACGTATAATAATGCAGTGGGAGTATGCATTGATTATTGAAAATGACTTTCACAAAATCGAACATGTTCATTAAATGCATTCAGATTAAGAATGCTCTGTACAGTGATGATCGTAAGACGCTGGGTCCACCATTCTGATGCATTTAGGCGTTGTGGGAAGTTCTGGTGGGAAGAATTGTGAGTTGGCTAAAAGACAACATATTCGGTAGGATAGGTTCACAATTGTTCAAGTATGTCTCAAAAGATTATATTTATATTTTATCTTGGATTGATTCACTGGCTGTCTGAAAGGTATTAAAATAAATGAATTCATCTCAAGTATACATAAATAATTGTGAGCAGATGCTGCCAAGTCAAGTCATTTGATTATTATATGAGCTGTTCAACTTTCTGTCATATATATATATATATATATATATATATACAGTGCATCCGGAACACTGTGCCATACCGAAAGTATTCATACCCCTATCACTTTTCCACATTTTTGTTTGTTACAAGCCATATTCAACATGGGATTAAATTCATTTTTTTTCTCAACATTCCGACCGACAACATACCCCATGAAGTGACCACAAGTGAAAAAGTTTTAAAATATGTTTGTAAATTAACTTAAAAATAAAACACTCAAATATCAACATAACAATTAGTTCACACCCTTGTACTCAATATGTTTGTTGAAGCACACGTTGGCAGCAATTACAGCCCAAGCCTTGAAGTAAGATGCCTATCAGCTTCGCACACCTATCTTTGGGAGTTTCTCGCCTTTTTCTTGCAGAATTGTCTCAAGCTCCATCGGGTTGGGATGGGGAGCCGTCGGTTGCAGTAGCCATTTTCAGATCTCTTCCAGAGACGTTAGATCAGGGGTAAAGTCCTGGCTCTGGCTTGGGCCACTCAAAGAACATTCACAGAACTTGTCCTGAACCAACTCATCCTTTTTGTTATCTTGGCTGTGTGCTTAGGGTCGTTGTCCTGTGTGAAAGGTAACCTTTGCCTAGAATCTGAGTCCAGACGCTCCTGGAGCAACAGGTTTTCATCAAGGATCTTTCTGTACATTTTCTGCATTCATTCTTCCCGTTGAATCGTGGCGACTTAGTCTCCCATGTTCCTGCCACTGACAAACATCCCCACAGCATGATGCTGCCACCCCCGTGCTTCACTGTAGGGATGGTGTTGGCCAAGTGATCAAGCGTGCCCTAGTTTTCCCTCCCAGACAATGAATGCTTTGGCATTCAGGCCAAAGA